GTGCTGAAAGACCACTTTCCTTTTAAGATTAGGCATAAATCAAAGATGCCTGCTGCTACTACTTTCATTCACTGCCATAAGAATATCTATTTAGATACACACATGTACATATATTACACACAATATAGATTTTATAAATAGATATACAAATGTCCTAAATATAGTCAGGGCTCTGTATCTGTGGGTTTTGCATCTGTAGATTCACCCATAGATTTGGGAAAAAATTGCACCTGTACTGAACATGTACAGCCTTATTTTCCTTGTCATTATTGCCTAAACAATACAGTATAGTAACTGTTTACTTGTTACTTATGTTGCATTAGCTACTGTAAACAATCTAAAAATAATTTTAAGTATCTGAGAACCAGGCACATTGGCAAATGCCTATAGTCCCAGCTACCTGAAAGGGCAAGACAGGAAGACTGCGTGAACCCTGGAGGTGGAGACTAGCCTAGGCACTATTGTGAAACCCCCATCTCAAGGAAAAATGTTTAAGGGATGATGTGCATAGGTTAGATGCAAATACTATGCCATTTTACATAACGGACTTGAGTATTTTAGGATTTTGGTACTTGTGGGAGGTCCTGGACCCAATGTTCTGAAGATACCAAGTTACAATTGTAAATGCACATATATATCAGAGAAAGAATTCTTTAATTGTAGATGACATGTATCTGGAAAATCCCAAGGAACTTATATCCATGGACTCTTTTTATCTTTTTTCTGGTACTGGCCTCATGCATTCTAAGCAGGCCCTCTACTATGAGCTACATTCCCAGCCCTAGCAATGTAGCAATAACTCAGGAGAAAATGTCAATTCTAGTTTTATATACTAGCAAAGAATAATTAGAAAATGAAAAAATTTAAAGTACAAATTTACAATAGCACCAAAATCATAAAATACGGTTGGAAGTATAGCTCAAGCAGTACAGCACCTGCCCAGCAAGTGTAAAACCCCAGAGTTCAAACCCCAGAACCGCCCAAAAAGTCATAAAATGTACAGAGATCAATTTAACAAGATACATCCATACTGGTACACTAAAAACTGTAAATATTCTGGAAAGTAATAAGACCTAAATTACTGAAGAAGTATAATCTATGTGTGGATCAGAAAACTAGGCATGGACAAGGTGTTTCCTAGCCCCAAATTTACCTATATAGTCAACACAATTCCAATCAAATCTCCCTGAGAAACTGACAGGCCAATTTTTTTTTTTTGGAAATTGGCATCTTGATTCTAAAACATATTTGGAAATACAAAAGAACTAGAATACCTAAAATGATTTTGAAATAGGAAGAGAGTTTGAGGACTTACACTATTTAATTTTAAATCTTACTGTAAAGTGTCAGTAATTAATATAGTTATGTTCTGGCCTATTGACAAAGATCTTTCCATTGATCAATAGAGGGTTCAGCTAGTCTCACAAAGATAAGTATTGCATATTTTTTCTCATATGTGGAATTTAGGTAAAAAAATAAATAGGAAATGAAAGTCCTAGGGATATGGAAGGTGAAAAAGAGGAAGGGAAGAGGGATAAGAAAGGGTAATAGACCACTCTTGGGGATATACCCAAAAGACTGTTACTCCAGAGGCACCTGCACATCCATGTTTATTGCGGCACTATTCACAATAGCCAAGTTATGGAAACAGCCAAGATGCCCCACCACTGACGAATGGATTAAGAAAATGTGGTATCTATACACAATGGAATTTTATGCAGCCATGAAGAAGAACGAAATGTTATCATTCGCTGGTAAATGGATGGAATTGGAGAACATCATTCTGAGTGAGGTTAGCCTGGCCCAAAAGACCAAAAATTGTATGTTCTCTCTCATATGTGGACATTAGATCAAGGGCAAACACAACGAGGGGATTGGACTTTGAGCACATGATAAAAGCGAGAGCACACAAGGGAGGGGTGAGGATAGGTAAGACACCTAAAAAACTAGCTAGCATTTGTTGCCCTTAACGCAGAGAAACTAAAGCAGATACCTTAAAGCAACTGAGGCCAATAGGAAAAGGGGAACAGGTACTAGAGAAAAGGTGAGATCAAAAAGAATTAACCTAGAAGGTAACACCCACGCACAGGAAATCAATGTGAGTCAATGCCCTGTATAGCTATCCTTATCTCAACCAGCAAAAACCCTTGTTCCTTCCTATTATGGCTTATACTCTCTCTACAACAAAATTAGAGATAAGGGCAAAATAGTTTCTGCTGGGTATTGGGGGGGGGAGAGGAAGGGGGCGGAGTGGGTGGTAAGGGAGGGGGTGGGGGCAGGGGGGAGAAATGAACCAAGCCTTGTATGCACATATGAATAATAAAAGAAAAATGAAAAAAAAAAAAGAAAGGGTAATAGAGGGGGTAAATACAATTCACGTGCATTATATGCAAGTATGATTCTGTAATACCTTACTGTACCTTACTTTTACAATTAATATATGCTAATATAAAATAGAGGATCTAAAAGCAGACTCATATAAATGTAACTCGATTTTTTTTTTTTTTTGCAGTGCTGGGGATTGAACCCAGGGCCAATCTATCACTGAGCTATACCCTCCTGTCGAATGTACCTGAAAGGTAATTCAGTGGGTAGAAGAGGCTCATCTTTTTAACAGATGGTTCTGGAATAGTAGGAAGTCCATATGGAGAAGAATGAACTCACAACCTGTAACTCACATCATACACAGAAATCAATTCAGCATGTACTATAAGCCTGCATGTAGACGTGAACTCGGTAGGGCTTTCAGATCTATATATACATAGAGTATCTTCATGAGGTTGGGATAGCTCAGTTTCCCTAGGAAGGAGATTCTGACACATGGTACAACATGGATGAACCTTGAAAACATGCTAAGTGAAACATGACAGTCACAAAAGGACAACTATTATATGAGTCCACCTGTATGAGGTACCTGAAGTAGTCAAATTCCAGAAAGTAGAAAGATGGGTGCCAGGGACTGGGGGGAAGGAAGGGAATAAGGAATTAGTGTTTAATGGGTACTATTTCTGGGTTGATGTAAAGGCTCTGGGAGTAGTGGTGATGGTTGAACAACCCTTAACTTACATTCTTAACAATGGCTAACACAGTACATTTTGGGCTGGAGGCATGGCTCAAACAGTAGAGTCCTTGCCTAGCAAATGCACAACCCTGAATTCAAACACCAGAATTGACAAAAAACAACAACAAACAACAGAGTAAATTTTGCTATATATATTTTACCACAATAAAAATACCTAGAATATGGCCTGAAACAAATTGGCGATTTGGACCCCAAAAAAAAGCCTTCTGAGAGCTCAGTTGGATTAGTCTTTTGCACAACATGTGACCCACTCTATCCTGCCCTGCCCTGCCATCCTGAGTTGGCCAGAAGCTGCCTGGAGCCTTAGGGAAGCTTAAGTCACAGGAACTCCCCCTGCCCCTTAAGGGAGGAAGTTGAAATTATCAGGTCAATTAGGAAAGATACAACCGAAAAAATCCAAGTTTCATTCACACTTCAAGGAAGTGGCTGGGTGCCACTTTTATTATTTTTGGCCTGGGCAACTGAAAGCCCTACATACCCAGGGAAGGTACAATGTGATCTTTGATTCGCGTTTCAAGGATCAAAGCAAATGGGTTTGGGTGTAAATGCAGATAACATTTCAGAGATCTGTCATGAAAGGAGTCACTAGACCAGGGCAGAAAGGGAGCTGGTTGTGTTACGTGTACGTTCTCCTTCAGAAGCATCATTTTCCCAGTAAATCTGGCTGTCCCTGGTCCAAGGACACCTGGCTTGCAACCAGGTCCTAGGGCCATCCATGCATATTAGGTCTGCGCTGTGGGGCTGCCACCCTTTCCCATGTCTTCTTTAGGCACCATTAGGACGCAGGGAGGTAGCATGGAGCGGCCCGTGCACAAGTAGATCAAAAGCACACAATCTTACTCCTTCCTGGGCGCTGACTGGGCTCGCCAATGCTGGGCAGCGCGCTTGGGCTAGGCATGGCTCTGTGGGGAGAGCCCATGTGTGTGCCAGTCTGCCCTCACTGTCTTCTCTGGGTCCAGCTTCGGCTGGTAGAGAAGCACACACTCACTCACCCACGACAAGGACACCCACAGGCCTTGCCTGCAGCCCCTTAGGCGTGCAAGTGCAGTGTGCTTGGGTTCTTAGCTGAGTTTTGAGCATGGGCACTGGGTGAGCCTTCCATTCCCAGGAAACGCTTACCGGGCCGATAGGACCAGCAACCCCTCTATACTCCAACCTTCCCCGATGCCCTCGGCCACCCAGCCTTATTCTAGCCCTCCAGTAGTCCTGATGCACAGTCCCCAGTGTCCAGGGGAGTTCCGCGGGCTGAGACGGCATAACCCCTGAGTCTCTGCTGCAGCGAGACTCTGCGGGTCCCGGGAAATTACACCAAGGGGCGGCTCCGGCCCATGGCCCCGCTCCTGCACACATGGCTCCTCCTGCTCGCGTGGCGCTTGGCGTAGCGTGGTACTGGGCGCGCACTCCCATGACCATCCGCGCCGCGCTGCCGCGCTGGCAGAGCAGCGAGCGCTTGCGCAGCAGAGGGCCCTGCGGCGAACGGCGCAGGCGCGACGGGCAGAGCGCGCGCGCGCGGCCCAGCTGGTCGGCCGGCGTGGGGCGGGCCGCGAGCCTGCGCGGGGACGTACAGAACGGGAGCGCGCACGCTGGGGGCGTGGCTGCGCGAAGCGGTCTTAGCTTTTTCTGCAGGGAGTTGGTGTCGCCGACTCCGGCGGGAGGGTCAGTTTGGCTGCTTGGAACCTGAGCGGTCGGCGGGAAAGCCCAGCGTGCGCAGAGCCAGAGTTGCGTCCCTCTGTCCATTTCGTATTCCCTGCCCGCGGTAGCTAGAGTCCCCATGACCTTCTGGTTGGCGGGCCTCAGTTTCCCCGCGTCTGGGGTTGTGGGGAGTCTGGAGACGTTTGGGCTGTTCCCGCCGTCTTGGAAAGTGGCGCCCGTTCTCCACCCGGTCTCGCTCAGGCCCATCTTGTTCTCCACTTTCTAGGTGGATCTTGGATTCGCCCTCTCGGAGGGAGGCTCGTCTGTTCGGTCTCCAGCTTCGGATCCCTGGACCCTTTTGGCTGGCACCTCTTGTAGTCTCAGGTAGATGGGTTTTATTGCCAAGGGACTGGTGAGCTCGTATTTCCTGCATGGTGGTTGCTGCGGGTGGGGGTGGGGGAGGCAAGAAGGTGGTGCAGACGTCCGCCCTGAACTTGCTTTGAGTTTTTTGGATAAGTTCTTCTCTTCCCGGGGCCCCTGGGTCTCCTCGGAGCAAAGAACGCTCCGGCGTTCCAGGCGCTGCCTTTGACTTTGCGGAGGCAAATACGCGCGCCGCGATTCTAGTTCCTTCAGTAGAGCGCTGTCCAGTCCAGAAGGATCGAAATTCCCCAGTGCCAGGAAGGGTGGGGAAAGACCAACAGACTGATAAGCGCGGGAGGCATGGGATGGTCAAAGTTTTCAAAATGCTGAGAGTCGGGCCCAGGGTTAGAAGAGCTGATCCTGAAGTAGGACGGGGTGCTCGTGCAGGAGCCTTCTCCCTGAGGTTGCAAGGGGCACACAGGTGTGCAGGTAAATGGACAGGATGAGAGCTAAATTCCCTAGTGGGGGTGGGAGATGAGAACTAGGAAGAAGGAAGAACAGAGGTCTGGCAAGTGCTCTGGCTCCTGGGCATGGGGTGTGGTCTTTGTGAGCATCCTAACACCTAGCTAGCGGTGGAGATTGCTTTTTCAGAACTCATTGAGGGATCGGACTGAACTCATGAGTGAACTCCACTTTTATGCTGTACTGGGGGGAGGGGTTCTGCTACTATAAGTATTCTTTGCTTTGAAGTAGTGTGAGAAGCCAAGGGTAAGGGCTGGGCTTTTAGGGGAAAGGGAGGGGATGTATCTGAGATATTTCAAAAGGTTTGGGTATTGGAGATAGGTACTGGTGGCCCTGGCAGCTTTGAGTGTTGTAAGCCACTTTGAGTTGTAAGCCACTTTGGAGGTTCTGGGCAGAAAGAACAACTGAGATAGTCTCATACCTTGCTGGAGGAATTGACTGGTGGGGGTTGGGGGGTGGTTAAGGCGAGTGCAGGCCATGGTGCTCTTAGGTGTGAGCTAGTGAAGAACGGCTGTGCATGCAGTAGTGAAACAGAAGACTTTTGGGGAGATGATGAGTGAGCCTCCCTCTCTAGAGGGTCTGGGGTAGTGGCTGAACCGAGTGAGTGTCCCAGAGGAGGCCCTGGTAGAGGCTACTGCTTAGAGTTGGGGTGGAGTCAGCCATCCAAGGGGGCTTTCCAGGTCCTTGGAGTGCAAGTGGGATTGCAGGATTTCACATTTGAGGAATAGGATTGGGAAATACAGAAAGGTGTGTTTAGGGTGGGGGTGGCATTGCCTGTAGGCAGCACTCTGGAAAGCATGGGAGATAGGCAGGAGGGAACAGATGACAACTGGGCATCCTACTTGTCAGGTGTGCCTGTGCTGGAATGTGCAAGAACTTTTCAAGGTGCTCTGTGTACTTAGCAGTTTACAGGGTTTGGGGTGGCCTAGAGTTTACTCAGCTGACTGTGAAGGGCAGTTTGTGACCTGTGGGATGAGCCATGGCCAAGCCTCTGGTCTGTACAACCAGGTTCGCTGCCTCCACTGTCACTTCCCAATTGGTGTGTGGCCGCAGACAAATCAGTTTACCACCCTGCCTCGTCAGCCATAATAGTACCATCCTAATGTGTGGGCAGTCATGGCGTACTGCGCTGAAGGTTGCTGCTGTCGTCGTCCTGAAATTACCTGGCTGCTCTGATCTGGCCGCCTTTCTTCTGGGATTGACAGCATCTGTCATTACACCTTCGCGTTGAAAGTCACAGGTAGCATTTGTCTGCCTTCTAGGACCTCCCAGGCCAGCCCCCTGAGCCCCTCCTCCCACTCAGAGCTCCTAGTCAGGTATCAGGGGGTGTGCCTGTTTGTTGCCTCCTTGCCGCCTCCTCCTGCCAGCCCGATGGTAATGGTTGGGCCTAGTTCCTGCTCTTCCTTACCTTGTTTTGGACAGATTACCTTGGATGATGGCCTGCATCTGACAGTCCCTCGGCTCTTCTCAACTCTCCTGAGGCGGCAGCTAGCAGCTTCTCTGATCCTCAGCACTTGCCTGGAACGACCAGGTCTGCCACACCCTATCCAGCTGATTCCTGTCCTGGTGTGTTGTGTGCCACCTTTGTCCACACTGCCTATTGTGCAACAGGCTTTTCCTCCCTTCTCCCCTCTGCTCCTAGCATGCCTCGTGGCAGGCGCCGTCAGCAGGGCCCTCGCAATCCCATCCGGGCGGCCCCCAATTACGCCAATGTGCACCCTTGGCAGCAGCTGGACCGAGCCTCTCCTGGGGTGGCATACACCCCTCTTGTGGATCCCTGGATTGAGCGGCCCTGCTGTGGGGACCCCGTGTGTGTGCGCATGACCATGGAGCAGAACGGTACAGCTAGTGACTCTGCTGGCGGTAAGCCCACAGAAAGGAGCCCTCCAGCTGGGCGTATGCCAGGTCCCTGGCCCCTCAGGATGGACTTCCACTGGGTGCCTGGCTCAGACCCAGGCACCTTTGATGGCTCTCCATGGCTGCTGGACCGCTTTTTGGCCCAGTTGGGCGATTACATGTCTTTCCGCTTTGAGCACTACCAGGACAACCTCAGCCGTGTCTGTGAGATCCTCGGACGCTTGACAGGCCGAGCCCGTGCCTGGGCAGCCCCCTACCTCAATGGGGACGTGCCTTTGCCCGATGATTACGAGCTCTTCTGCCAGGATCTCGAGGAAGTTATTCAAGATCCAAACAATTTTGCTGAGTACCACGCTGCAGTGCCTTGCCCTCTGCCTCCAGCATCGAGCCAGCCACCAGTGGCTCCACAGCTGCCTGTGGTGAGGCAGTACTTAGCTAGGTTCTCGGAGACCCTGGCACTCAATATGAGCACTCCCCCTAGGCCTGTTCTAGCTGCCTCAGCTACTCCTGCTTGGTCCAGTCCTGACTCTGCCCCCACAAATGCTGTGCCTGAGCAGCAGTTGGCCAAGGAGACCACCCCTATGCCCCAGGAGTCCCCTACCCAGGCCTGTTCTGCAGATAGCACTGATGCTGGTCCTGTGGGGCCAGCTGCCTCCCAGCCAAAGGACGTGACCCCCAAACCTGCCCCTACCTCTTCAGAAATTTCTAATCTCCCTGCCCAGCAGCTAGGTCTAGCTTTCCTAGGGAATTCACAACCCCGTAAAACAGAGATGGTTTCTGAGACAGGAGACCAGGAGGTGCCCTTGGGTACCCCACAGGGGGTGGGAGATGTCCCAGAGAACCCGCAAGAGTCTCCTGTTCCTCACCCCACATCCCTGGGTTCTGAACATGATCCAGACAGTTCAGTGGTGCCTCTTGTGAAGTGACAGGCATAGCTCGGGAGCCCCACAGTCGAGACAGAATTGTGTCCCCAGATGACTCCAAGTGATCCCATATTTAGGCGAGGAGGTGCGTCTCTTTTGAACTCCACCCTGTCTGAGCACAAATACTCTTTTCCCCACCCCCAGTAGAACATGGGCTTGTAACCTCATCCTCTGACCCTGCTGGGTTCCCAGCTTTGTCTCTACTCCTCAACTGGGAGTGCCATGTCACTGGACCTGTTTCCACAGAGTAGTTCTGTAAGTCAGCCCCCATCAGGTAATTTGTACCACCTTTGTCACCCACTGCTCCCGCAAAATACCCACCTTGATGGTCTTAACACTAGCTAGGGCTGGACTGGGTCTGCTATGTCCACTGTATCTGAACCTAGCCTCTGGATAGTGTCTTTTTGTTCCTGCTCCCTGTGACCTGTGACTGGAATTCAAGGAAAGCTGCGTGGAGGAAGTTGGCTTCTTGCTTTCTTTTGTATCATTTTTAAGATCATATTAATGGGTTATAGTGTGATAATTTGATATCATATATGGAACATGTAATGATCAAATCAGGGTGATTGGAATTTCCATCTCCTTAAACATTTGTCATTTCTTATGTTTAAACCCCTCTTTTCTGGTTCTTTGTAAAATACGTAGTACATTGTAAACTGTGGTCCACTGAAGCTACCGTATTTTGGTAGCTATTATCTAATCTCCACATGTCCTTCCCCCACCCATCAGAACTTCTAGTGACTGCTTTTCTGCTCTCTGCTAATGTAAGATGAACCTTTAGTTTGCACATGTGAGTGAGAACATATAGTATTTGTCTTTCTGGGCCTGTCTTATTTCACTTAACAGTGCTCTTGAGTTCCATCCATGTTTTTATGGCCAAATAATACTTCATTGTGTATATACACTGCATTTTCTTTAACCACTCGTCTGGTTATTCCATTTATTATGAGCAGTGCAGAACCAGCCACTTTCATCCCTCTGAGTGAAGGATGGGTAGCATCTTGGCCGAGAATTCTGTTTCTCTGTGAGTTTATCAGAGGCCCTGGTGGCTGGGAGGCTTTGTGCAGAAGATGGAATCCAAGCTCCTTGCCAGGCTGAATTGTAGATACCCCTTTGTGTATGGTGGCATTCTTGCCACATCATGTATCTTCAGAAGTTGTCACACTCTTTTACATTTGTGTGCCTTGAGTGGTGGAGCTACCTTCCCCTGTGTACTCTGGCACATCGATGACTTAGCACTTAAAACCCCAGTGATGTAAATGACTTGTATCTCCTGGCAGACTGTGAGCCTCAAGTTCAGAGCTCTGTCGTATCTTTGTGTCTCTGGTACACAATTGGCGCTCATGAAGCATGCATTGGATTAACTGCTGAGAGTGTGGTGGCTGCTGACAAGCAGATTCCTTGTTTTTTGTGGGTGGGAACACTGCCCAATCTGTCAGGAGCAGAGACCCAGCCATAAGCATCCCAGGTCAGTGATGTAGGTGTGGTTCCCATGGGGGCTTTGAGGACCTAAGGATCTGGTAGAAGGAACTGAAGCAGAATGGGTGGGGATGGGAGGCTCTGCGGGTGGGGGGTGGGCTTGAGAACTGACTGCTGAGCTATAAAAGTAAAGTAAGGAGCAGGCAACATATCAAGAGCTGCAAGGCCCCCCCCTCCCCCCCCCAGGCATTGGAATGAAGAAAGACCAGTTCTGGACAAGGAGGGGTTTATAATGAAAGCTGAGCTCAGAAGCTCCCTTAAGCCAAGTTTACCTGAGGATGAGGGTACAGCTGCCAGTATACAGTGTGTGCCTACTTAGGGGAACTTAGTCAAGAATATCAAGTTCCTTTCACTTTTACAATTGTAAAAACAACAAAAGAGGACATCTTCCTGAAAAGCTGGAAGAGAATAGAAATGTGATTTGGAAACAGCCAGTTATTTTGGAAAACAGTCATAAGCACACATCTGGTGATTTCTATTTCCAGAAAAATAGAAATTGTTGAGATTTTTTTTTTTTTAATTTGGTAACTTACTAGAAAAGGCTCTGGGTCCAGATGGTTTTATTTGTGAGCTACTTCAGAGCACAGCTACCTTGTATACAAAACAGTGGCAAAGCTCTTTTTAAGAAGTTGATGTGACCCTGATAACAAAGCAAGCAAGCTGACAGAAGAGGCTGACTTGCAGTCTCAGTTCAGATATAGAAATCCCTGGATGTCTGGGCCTAGCCCTGGTACTTCTGTCCCAGGTCACCTAGTTGCCCCTCTGTGATTGCTCAGGGCTAGGACAAACTGCTCTCCCATACCCTTTTTAGCCAGCTGTGGCCTGGCCTATGTTTGACCATAGAACCTGGAGCTGTTTCCTGATGGATAGTCCAGTTATGCAGCTGGCCCCCCCACCGTCTTGGCCCTTGCACAGCTGCCTTCCCATCTGTTTGATGAATCTGAAGTGAGTGCACTCAGCTTGAGATGGCTGTCTTTCCTGGTGAATCTCATGGAGGCTTGGAGTTTGGAACACTGTACCTGTGGCCCAACTGTGGCGGCTGCTTACGCAGGCTAGAGAGTACTTGGGAGAGTCCAAGTGATCTGCTTTTAATTCAGAAAATGAGTCCTATTCATTGTGGTTGCCTTCTCACCACTAAGGAAAGGAAGGTCTGCCTCAGCAGTGGTGGCCGGGTTCCTGGGTGCCTGTGTGCAGGTGATGTGGAGGAGGGGACTGTGGCTTGGCCTTCCAGACATGATGGCTTCATCACCAGTGGTGGCAGCACCTGCCCTTTTTTTGGTGGTACTGGGGTTTGAACTCAGGGCCTCATGCTTGCAAGGCAGGTGCTCTAACTGCTTTAGCCACTCTACCGGTTTAGCACCTGCCTTTGAAGAGAGGTGATCATCCAGATGCTTTCCCACTGCTTTTCTTCTCTCTTGGTGGGAGAGAAGGTCCTCACCAAGGCCTGTGTGAGGAGGCCTTGGGTCATTTTACTCTGCTGGCATCCACACACAGGACAGACAACCCAGAGGGTGGTGCTCCTGGAGCTGCAGAGCCTGTGGGGGTTTGCCAGACATGCTGGCCAAGTGCCAGGTCTGCCTTCCAGATTAGTGACTGTCCCCCACTTCCCTTGGAAATACCCAGAGTTTTAATTTCCTAAAGATAGGACTAGTGAAGTGTTTTTAAAGTACCCATCTCCAAGGAAATCTTAAATCAGTAAATACTGAGGATAAGGTCCAAGTATTTTAAGTACTTGCATATTGGTGTAGAGAGATAAAATAGAACAAACCACTTTAGAACATTAGAAGTTGGAAATTTAGTACATACTAGTGATGTTTCAAATTATAGGGATGAAAGACTTCAGTAGAAGCAGTTAGCCATCTAGAAAACAGTAAAACTAGGGCGCTTACCTCAGTTTTTGTGCCAGTGCATGTTCCAGACGGATTAAAAGATGTCAACATTTAAAAAAGTCGTAAAAGTACTTGCATTCGTCAGCTTTCTGTTACTGTAACAAAATGTCTGAGATAACCAACTTATAAAAAGGAAAGGTTTGTTTTGGTTTTGGAGGTTTTAGTCCATGACTAGTTGGCTTATTGCTTCTGGGCCTCTGGTAAGGCAACTCATAATGGGGGTGGCACCTGGGAAAACTATTACCCTCCTGTTTAGGATGAGAAGAAGTGAGAGAGGAAGAAGAGGCTGAGGCCCCAATATCCCTTGCACAGGCATATCCTTGGTGACCTAAAATTTTCCAACTAGACCCCTCCACCCCCCCCACCCCCGGCCCTCACACACACCTCTTAAGGGTTCTACCACCTCCCAACGGAGTCAAGGTGGGGACCAAGCCTTTAACACATAGGTTTTGGGAGACTCAAGATCTAGGCTGTAGCAGTACTGCGGAAACTATGAGTGAACTGATTTCGTGATTCCAAGATTTTAAAAGCTTTAGCTGCCCAGAATGGCTAGAAGTGTGGTAAATAGGCTTTCTTACGCTATTGGTGCGAGTGTAGAATATGTTCATTTAACCACGTAACGGTTCTAACACTCGTGACCACTTGCCCACGTGCCTGGAGGCTCATGTCATCGGAGTCTTGTGCTTTCGTGGTGTTGGGGTTCTGAGAGTAGCCTTAAGCTTGGTCACACCTTGCCTCCTTACCTGACCTCTCTGATCTGTTAAATGGTTTGTCTTTACTGGGCCATCAGGAGAACTGAATGAGGATGATGTGTACTCAGTGTCTTGTCTGGGACCTCAGCCTTCCTGACTGCCTTGTGGGCTTCATGAACAGCAAAACTAAAACAGCCCAGAGACCCACAATAAGGGGCAAGGCAAATAAAGCTGTCACTCCTATGTGGCATGAGCCAGATTGTGCTGTGGTAACAAAAACTTCCATTGTCTCAGTAACCAGGTAACTCATTTCCTGCTTATACCACCTGTCCACCTTGGCTGGGCTGAGATACAGTCTGCTTGCTTCAGTTCCTTGGGGACCCAATCCTAGTCAGGTGGCTCCATCTGAACGTAACATCTCATAGTCACAGAGGTGGAGGAAGGACCACAGTGAGCCACCCTACTGTTACAGCTAAGGATGCCATGCAGCTGCACCTGAGTTTTGCAGGTGAGGTGAAGTACTCAGTATTAAGACATGTAAGCAGCCATTCACATTGCTGACCAGTGCCTCTGTGGAGGGAGAGGGGTGGCCTACGTTAGCAGCTCAGGCTGGGTGACTAAAACAGACATGCGTTTGCTCACAGTTCTGGAACCTAGAAGACTAAGATCAAGAAATGGGCAGGGCTGGTTTTTCCTGAGGCTTCTTTGCTTTGCTTGTAGATACTCATCTTCCCTGTGTGTTCTCTTGATCATCCTTCTGTGTATGTCTGTGTCCTAATTACCTTACCCCTTCTTGTAGGACATTAGGCATGTTGGATCCAGACCCAGCCCAATAATACCATTTTACCTAAATCACCTTTTAAAAGATCTTGTCTCCAAACAGAGTCCCATTCTTATACACTGAGGGTTAAGAATGCAACATAAGAATGTAGGGGGAGCCAGACGCTAGTGGCTCACACCTGAAATTCTAGCTACTCAGGAGGCAGAGATTGGAAAGATAGCAGTTCAAGGCCATTTAGGGCAGAAGTTTGAGAGACCCCCCCTCATCTCAACCAATAAAAAGCAGGGCTTGGTGATACATGCCTGTCACCCCTGCTACATGGGAAGAATAAGTAGGATCACCGCCCAGGCATAAATGACAGACCCAATCTCAAAAATAACCTAAGCAAAAAGGGCTAGAGGCATGCCTCAAGCAGTAGAATGCCTGCCTAGCATAAAGTCCTGAGTTCAAGTCCCAATACTGCCAAAAAAAAAAAATAAAGGAAATCTTTTCCTACATGAGGCATCATCAAAGCATCATCCTTTTTGTCAAAGTCTAATGTGTTGCCCTTTACATTAAACTTGGACTTCACTTGTCAATTTAATTATTGGGGGAGGGAGGATCTGCTCTTGAGGCCTGTGATGGGTAGAGCATCTCTGCCAACCAGCATGGATGTGTAATATGAGCAAGAAATAAAATTTTCATGTGTGGGGGCCACTGAGTTAAGAGAGTGTGTGTTCCAGAGCATAACCAGTTGTATGGTAGGGGATCCCATTACTTCTCTTTCCAT